CAGTAGCAGACTTCTTTGAGTTTGAACTGGTAACATGGTTGCCTACACTAGAAATGGCATTTCCCCATCTCCCTGGCAGCTTGGTGTGGCCATATGAATAAGTTAAGCCAAAAAATGTGAGTGGTGATGAATGCCACTTCTCCTTTCCTGACTTCCCCCTCACTGGGGAATTTCAACAAGTGAAAAAAACTTGAAAACCATATGTTGAAGTTGGAAGACCTGCTGCACTGGCCCTGGGCCGCTCACTTCAGAACTGTCTATGAAAGAGAAATAGGGGCACCCAGGTGACTCAGTTGGTTACGCATCTCCCTTTGGCTCTGGTCATGATCCCAGGGTTCTGGGATCGAGGTCTATGTCAGGCTCCTTGCTCAGCGGTGAGCCTGCTTCTCCTTCTCCCTCTGCTGCTCCCCCTGTTTGTGCTCTCTCTCTGTCAAATAAATAAATAAAATCTTAAAAAAAGAGAGAGAAATAAATGCATATGCTATTTAAGCTGCTGAATAACTGTTAAAGCAGCTTCATGTGTTCCTTAACTAATACAGAGGTGCAGAGTCTGTGATCCTGAGGCTGAAGGCACTTCATCAGTCTAGGAAAGTATCAAAGTTACTGACCTCATCACCTTTGTGTTCTAACCAACACACCCTCACAGAATCATAGACTTACAAAGCTAGAAGAAACCCAATGGAATACCATAATTCACAAAACAGAATTAGGTTTAAGAGAATTAACTTTTCTGAGGATAAATATCTTCTGCTAAAATAATGGATTCTTCGTTTTGAATATCTCTGCAAAGCAAAAGTGAAACATTTGTAAGATAAAATATTTCAAGTAAGTAAGTACACCATGTGCCATTGTCTTTTAAGTTTGAATTTATAAGAAATGACTTATTAACTAATAATTAAATTCAGAGTGTGCTACTCCCAACTAGATACTGAAATCTGGATCAGGGTCTGCCATTTAAACAGCTACTCACTATAGATTTGCTTACTTGGAAATACATAGATTAATATGTTGTTCATCCTCTTCTTCTTCTCCTTACAATTAGAACTTTTATACTAATGTATTCAGTTATATGGACCCTCAAAAGCATATTTGTGCATAATACTTGAGATGCAGATATTAAAAGAAGACTAAACCCTACATACACCAAAAGTCTTGTAAATTCATCGTTAATGATTATGGATTCTTGGCCATGTTTTCTTTTCCCTTAGTCGTATTAGTGAAAGGGATCCTTGGTTCCCCTTCTTTGACTGGAATATCAACAGTCCATGGCTCTTAGAGTTTATATTCCTTTTCATTTTCCAAGAGAAAAAATGGGCTCTGAATGGGAATCTCACTTCCACCATTTATTTACCTAGTGTCCTTAGGGAAGTTATTTACTGAGCCTTGGGTTACTTATCAATAAAATTGGGGGTTTTTAAAATTTGAGTACAGGTGATGCGCAATGTTACATTAATTTCAAGTGTATAACATAGTGATTCGACAAGTTTATACATTATGTTATATTTAAAAGTGTAGCTACCATCTGTCAAAATTAAGGAGTTTTTCATGTTTACCTCACTGACTGGTCCCTGGTCTCGCTCCATTACTCTATTCTCCAGAAAGAGTTCCTTCTAATCATTAAATCAGATGGTCCCTTCTCTGCTCAGATGCCTTCACTGACTTCTCATCTCATTCACAATAAGAGTCATTCCTAACAATAGCCTCACAGGTCCTGGAAAATCTGTAGACTTCTGTCTTATCCCATTTTCTGTCCCACTTTCTCCTTTGCCAGCCGAATCCCACCACACTGGCTACCCTGCTTATCTTTGAACAGGCCAAGAAAATGCTTTCTTCAAAACCTTTGCACCTGCTAATTCTCCACCAGGAGTGCTCCTTCCCTGGAAGATGCCCCTTCCAGATCTTCAGGTTTCTGCTCCAGTGTCAGTGTTTTGAATATTTTCCATCATTGCCTCATAAAAAACAGCAATCCCCTCTCCACCTCCATGAGTACTATCCCCTTTACCCAGCTTTATTCTTCTCTATAGCTCCAGTGAGGGCAGGGATTTGTTTTGTTTACTGCCATATCCCCAGCATTTAGAACAGTGTCTACAGCATAGTAAGCACATCATAAACATTTGTTGAATGAAAGTGTTGTTGGGAGATTAAATGAAAGCATATAAATTACTTAGGGGCAAGGAGCAATATAAGGGCTCAAAAAATGGTAGCTCTTAATTGTTTTATCTCTATCATAATGACAGCTGCTTGCTTGCCTGGATTCTTCCTTGCTTAGCTATTAGGATAATTCTACAGAGATTTTTAAATAATTCCTTTACAGCTCAACTTTTCTCATATTTGTAAATTGGTTTAAAAATGCATAATAGATTTACAAGACAATGTAGTATGCCTTCATGATTACCTTTTACTGAACAGAAAAGAGTAATTTCTTAAATTTCAAAGTGCAATCCTGCCCATGAGACCCAGTATTTACAGTATTTTAATTTTTTGATTGAAGACGAAGTGTTTTAACATCCCTATCCTAGTAAACAGAGATATTATTCAAGGTCTTAGTTACTGAAACCTACTATTAAAAATTAGAGCATTATATTTTCAGAAATACCTAAATTAGTTACTTTTAAATCCATGCAAGGAAATGCCAATTAATTTTGTGGGGGTTGATATGAGGAATTCTTAATCTCAGGAAAGAAACTGAGTGTTACTGGAGTGGTTGGGGGTGGGAGGGATGGGGTGGCTGGGTGATAGACATTGGGGAGGGTATGTGCTACGGTGAGCGCTGTGAATTGTGCAAGACTGTTGAATCACAGATCTGTACTTCTGAAACAAATAACGCAACATATTTTAAGAAAAAAGAAAAAGAAGAACATAGCAGGAGAGGAAGAATGAAGGGGAGTAAGTCAGAAGGGGAGATGAACCATGAGAGATGATGGACTCTGAAAAACAAACTGAGGGTTCTAGAGGGGAGGAGGGTAGGGGGATGGGTTAGCCTGGTGATGGGTATTAAAGAGGGCACATTCTGCGTGGAGCACTGGGTGTTATGCACAAACAATGAATCATGGAACACTACATCAAAAACTAATGATGTAATATATGGTGATTAACATAACAATAAAAAATTTTAAAAAAATTTTGTGGGGTTTTTTTTTGTTGTTTTGTTTTTGTTTTTGTTTTATATTTTTTTAAGATTTTACCTATTTATTTGACAGAGAGAGACACAGCGAGAGAGGGAACACAAGCAGGGGGAGTGGGAGAGGGAGAAGCAGGCCTCCTGCGGAGCAGGGAACCGGATGCGGGTCTCAATCCCCATGACCTGAGCTGAAGGCAGACTCTTAACGACTGAGCCACCCAGGCGCCCCTTGTTTTTGTTTTTTAGTAGATCATAATCTACTTTGAAGTTGGAGAAGGTATTCTGATTTAAGGAAATGGAGAAAGATTATAGGGGGAAGGAAAAGAGGAAATATTCAATGAAACTATTCACTGAATAAATGAATCTAATTCAGTAATTCCAGCTGAAGGAACTTTCCCCACCCCCATGAGGATATCTGGCACTGTCTGGAGATATTTTTGGTAGTCATAAGTGGGGGCAGGGCAGTGCTTCTGGCATTGAGTAGGTAGAGGCCAAAGATGAAGGATGTGGGATGCAGCTAAACATCCTACCACACACAGGACAGCCCTTCTACAAAGAATTGTCCTCCCCCAAATGTCAACAGTGCTGAGACTGAGAAACCCTAATAATCCAACCTTTTGCAGTCCCACTAGCCGACCTGATATTCAGTCTGTTTGCAAAATTACAGCACAGCAGCAGTGTCTGTGCTGATTAGCCTGAGCCCTCTCAGCTGGTTAATATTTTGAAGATGACTGCGGATCATGAATTGACTCAAGGTTACCCAATAATCTAATGGGAGAAATGGAACAGGGATCTATGTCTTCAGATTCTAATCATCCCTTCTCTTACTGCAGTGCTACTTCATGCAACTTGTCTGGAGCTCAGTGGTATTATTATGTGTTTTTTTGCAAGAGGTAATAGTTTGTCATTGGCCTCATATGAGGAGGGGGGAAAAAAATCTTGAGAAAGAAGCTTGTTTTGTTTTTATTGACTTGTTCTCTGGTCTTCTGCTCTACCACTGTGTGCTGCACACAAACAGAATGAAACAAATGAGTATTCTTCACTTCTCTGAACTTTAGCAACGTCAGAAAAAGGTCTGGTCCTTGACCATCTTGGCTCCTCTCTGCCTACATGACTTTCTGTGTTCTGCTTGTGTTAAACAGATTTCCGCACTGCAATGTGTGTTCTTTTCTTGATTGTGACAAGCTGTGGAAATGGGATTTTATGTCTTTTATGGTTTCATTTACTAGGTAACTCCTAAGTATGGAATTATATTTCACACATATTAAGGGGTGAATGAAAACCCTCTTGCTGATTAGACCCTCAAGTCTGTTAATAACGCCTTGGTTCCATCAGCAGCTATTCATTATGTTTGAGTGAGAGTACCATTTTTTCTAATTCTTAAGAATCAAATCTTTCTCTAAAATAAATTGAAAATAAATTTCTAATACTCAACTCATTCTCATCTCCCTGTTCAAAGCACATTTCAGTTTGTTGTGATTAGTATCCTTGCCCCAAAGGATCTTGCTGGTAATGGAAAAATATTAAAGGGTTTCAAAGAAAGAGCTGCAGAATGAGATTTGGGATATAGGTTATCAGGGGGAGAAAATATAGTAAAGCCTTTGGTTCTAGCCACATTTCCTAGATGAACTCATTAGTTTAATTTATAAAATACAAGTTTTGTTTTGTTTTGTTTTGTTTTCCAGTGGGGTTTTATTTTTTATTTCCCAGTAGGGTTTTAACCAACAGTTTAGAACTGAGGACTAAACCCATCTCTCAGTAATACTCGAACTACCAAGTGCCCTTTCTAATTGTATTCATTCTTTCTTTTCAGTTTCTACTGCCATTGCTTAGTTGAGGTTTCTCTTACTACTGCATTGCAACAGCTTTATAACCTTCCACTCCCAGCCTGCAAGACCTTCAACTGTAAGCTCCAGCCTAACCGCTAAAATTCTCTGCCATAATGGTAACACTGACCTCATGGCAGGCACAGTTTTGGTGTTAACTGTTGTCCATCTCCCCATATCTAGTATTTAGTAGGTCCTGCCATCAGTGGGCACATATATTTCCAGAGTCTTATCTCTTCATAACCCACTATAGTAGCAGCTATGTTTCACAGACAGTTAAAAATACCGCAGGGAAGTCCAGTGTTCTCCAGGCAAGGGACTACTTGTCCTTCCAGTCAACCAGCTGTCCTGATGGTAAAAATCATTGCTTTATTCAGTGGGGACCTCTCCAATTGGAACACATCATAGTTTATTGTTTTTGGTTTTGTGTTTTTGTGCCTTGACAAAATTTCCTAGGAATCATAGTATGCAGATAATTAGGTCTTTCATTTCTTGCTCATATTCTAATACTGATTGGGTACAAATCTTATATATATTTCATTCTCATTCTTTTTTTTCCTATTTGATTTGCAAAATGTTGTTTAGAATTTGTGTTCATAGGGATATCAGCCTGTTTGTTTATTTGTTTTTGTAATGTCTTTGTCTCATTTTGGAATCAGAGTAATGCTGACCTCACAGAATGAGTTGGGATGCTTCCCATATTCTGGAAGAGGTATATAGAATTGATATTATTCTTGTTTTCTTAAATGTTTGGTAAAATTTGCCAGTGTGGCCTTTAGGGCCTGGAAGTTTCTTTGTGGGAAAGTGATCTGTAAAGTCAGCTATTAGCACTTTGTGTCTTCTTTTCCTGATCACTCTGGCTAGAATTTTAAATTGTATTTATCTTGAAGAATCAGCTTTTGATTTTTCTCTGTTATTTTTGTTTTTTCTTTCATTGATTCCTGCTCTAATTTTCATTCTTTCCTCCTACTTACTTTGGATTTAATTTGTTTTTTTTTAATAGACATTAATTTTTAGAGCATTTTTAGGTTACAGAAAAATAATTGAGCAGAAGGTATGTACATTTCCCCCCTAGTTTCTTAAGGTGGAAGTACAAAGACATTAAGAACCTTCTACTTTTCTAATACAGGCTTCAGAATACAGCTGTAGGTTGTATCATGCAGATGGTGCAAAAATTAGATGAGAAAATCCTTCCCAGAAATTATTTGCATAATACTGTTACTTATTTCTAAGCCATTTGGTTGGATTATATATGTTTACTGTCATGATTTTTTTATCATTACAAAGAATCAACAGAAATAGTAAAATGGGTTTTATGACAAAGCCTGGCAGGGACAGAATTTCCTTCCCGCTCATCTTCTCTCAGATGCATTCAAATTAAACATTCCTATATTTACAGATAGATTGCTTTGATGGGACTAGTGTGATCAGTAGATTTTCTTTTAAACTATTTTTACTGATAGAGGATATAAAACCAAGAGAAAACTGAGCCTAAGATGAAAATTAAGGAAGCTGTACATCCCACTATCTTATTGAATATTTCTCCATTTTTTTAAAAATGAGAATTTGTAAAGAAAATTGCCTTTCTTTTCTACCTCAAGAGAGCACATTTCTCCCCAAAGACCTAGAAGTGGCCAGGCATGAGTCTGTGCTTGCAGTGGTGTGCCTAAATAGAAGGAAAGGGACAAAAGATAAAGAGAAAATAAAATAGTTCACGACTGTTTCCTTTGACTGAAGAAAATTTAATGCACTCTATGAGGTAGTATATAGATGGAATCAAATGACTTGGGGAAAAGGGGTGTGTGTGTGTGTGTGTGTGTGTGTGTGTGTGTGTGTGTGTCATGTGGTGTGTTTGCATACCCAATACCTGACACTTAACAATCAGCAAATATTTTAGTGGCAACTAGCAGAGTTCTTTTTGCTTTAGTATCAGCACACCACATCTAATAACCTGCCTTGTGGTCTGTTGGCTAGCTCCCGGCCCTCTTCTATGGAGCCAGCAAGAGTTTTCTTGGAGCAAATCTCTCCTTGCTTATTTCAGAATGTTCCCCTCCCTTTTTGAAGCGTAGGCCTCCAATTAGAAAAGAAAAAAATGTAAGCCTTGCTAAATGTATCATTGTAAATACAATAGAGTCTTTAGTAAAGCTCTGTGTTCTGAATTTTGATAAAACAAATTGTGTAATGCAGTGTAAGCAATAATTTTTAATAGGTTTGGAAAAAATAGTATAAACAATGACATAAACACTTAAATGTATGTTGTTTTTTTTTGTGGGGGTCATTACTTTTTCTATACTAAAATGTTCCAAAATATTTCAAGAAATAATCACATTGAATTTTGTCAACAATTTTTCTTAGCAATTAACCTTTTCACTTATTCACAACCACATGTCAAGTATTTTTATCAATAATATTTATTTCAGTATTATTTGCATTATCTTTTCATCCTATCCTTAGCTGGACAGCTTTTGAAATCTCTTACAAGCAAGCTCTGTTTTCCTTCAGTAATTAAGCAGACATTTACTATGTTATTTTCTGACTGACTCCCCTGAAATAGCAAATATCTGTTATCTGATCTTGGAAGAGACTCATTTCTTCTCCCTTAACATCAGCATTGTCTGCAAGCATAGCAAAATCAGCCCTGTTTTTTCATTGTTCTATTTAATGGAAAAGTCTATTTTATAGAATAAAAGTGACCATGGCAACATGCAGTTGCAAAAGCAATGCCCAGGAGGTGGCAGCAATTTTCAGCATTTCAGTCCATTTCCTCTCATTAAACTATACCTTATATCTAACCCTTTTACTGAAGTTTAACTAGCTCAGCGATTCAGTATTTTCTTAATGTACCTCTTACCACCCGCCACTTCCCATTTTTCCCTTCCCCTTTCCTTTCTTTGTTACTCTGGACCGAGAAACCCCTAGGGTGTCTGTGCAGGGTGCGCGCCCGTCTCGTCAGCCTATGAGTAGCTCCCACTCCAAGTGCTCATCTAAGAACTTGCCAGAGCTTTCACCTATTTGTAGTCTCTCTTTTACTTCAATCTGCCAGCCCTGTGACAAATGGTTTTGGGTTTTAGTATATTGAGTGACCATCATTCTTTTCACAGGGAAAATTAAAGCAATGCTATGTTTATTTCTTGACTACTGACTGCTGTTTTTCCTCAGAATAGCTAATAATTTCTAAATAAATTTTATTGATTATGTCTTTATCTTTTGTCACACAACCCACTCTTAATATTTTTAACGTTATAAATATATATCAAACACCTAATATTTTTCTGATGTGTGTGTGTGTGTGTGTATAGGTAAATAATGTGAAAATAGAAAATATGTATATTGGTCTCTACTCTGAGTTCCTGGCATAGAGTTCCTAAAACCCTTATAACTTCCTAAGTGATGAGAACACTAGGAGCATCTTCTCTTCTAATATTTGGTATTTAATCCTGGTTCTTGACAAAGAGCTCCTAAAACTCTCGTAAGTTTCTAGGAGCACTAGGAGCATGTTTTGTTCTAATGAGGTGAATCTAGTTGGGCTCCTGGATGGAGGCTGCTCAACAGAAAGACCAAGCCATGATTAGAAGCTTGGAATTTTCAGCCTCACATCTTAGCCTTTAGAGAAAGGGAAGGGGTTGGAAATGGAATTTATAAGTGATCATGCCTATGTGAGGAAGCCTACATAAAATGCCAATAGTCTGGGATTTGGAGAGCTTGTAGGTTGTATGCATCCACATACTGGGAGGATGACACACCCCAATTGCACAGGGACAGAAACTCCTGCACTTGGGACCCTCCAGAGTTCACCCTGTGTATTTCTCCATCTAGTTGTTCATGTTGTCCTTTAATGAACTGGTAAATATAAGTAAGTATTTTCCTGAGCTCTTTGAGCTACTCTAGCAAATTAATCAAACCCAAGGAGGTGGTCCTAGGAACATCAGATTGGTAGCCCAGTCTGACAGAAGCTGTGGGTTAGTAACCTACTACTTTCAATTGGCATCTCAAGTGAGGGGCATTCTCATGGGACTAAGCCCTTAACCTGTGGGATCCTAAACTATCTCCAACTTGATAGTCTTAGAATTGAATTAAACTGTAGGATACCCAGCTGGTGTCACCGAATTGCTTGTAGTGAAAATTCAAACATCCGGGGTCAGAAGCACTGTCAATGTGGTAGTTGTATGACAGTAATGGAGAAACAGGGAGGAAGGACGGAGGTTTTCTGACAGAGATTTTTTCTAAGGACATGCTATTAACCACCTTTCTAACAAAAGGTTTTGAGAGTTCATTAAACCTTGGTGTCTTCACAAAGGAAGAGCTTCTCTTTGTTCTTTATCTACCAATAGCTCGAAAGTTCATGTGTTAAATATTTGAGTCTTTTAAGAGACAGGTAAATACCAATTATTTAGGAGCATGATTCTCCTGACCTATTACAGTTATTCTGAAACCATGCTTTTCAAATATTTTGGGGGGTTGCAGAGCCATCCTTTTTTCTAAAGGCAAGTATATTACACACACACACACACACACACACACACACACACTCCTAATACAGCAAAATGGAGCAGGAGTGCTCCTGTTGAAGGTAAAGAGGTTCACAGACTTTCTGCTGGCTTCCACTTACCCAACCCATTCCCTAAAGTAGCCTCTGAGATACCACCAGGGATCCCAGAATTCTATAGAATAGAGTTTGAAAATCACCATTTTAGAATACTCCTTAAGAGTCCTAGAGTAGGGGCACCTGGGTGGCTCAGTCAGTTAAGGGTCTGCCTTCGGCTCAGGTCATAATCCCAGGGTCCTGTATCAAGTCCCGCATTGGAGCCTGCCTCTCCCTCTGCCTGCTCCTCTCTCATTTTTGCTCTCTCTCTCTGACAAATAAATAAATAAATAAAATCTTAAAAAAAGAAGAGTCCTAGAGTAAATTTAAATTGCATAAATATCAGACAAAAATAGAGAAAAAAGTCTTATTAAACAACTCAAATGGCTTTAAGATCTAGTCATGTCAAGACAAACTATTTCCTAGCAGACAAGCATTATTCTAGTCCTCACATCTTTGTAACTCCTGGAGCAGCATCCTCTGTAAGGAGTAGGCAGTCCCAAATGTCATTTCATGATTGAGACCCAGAGTATGAGT